CAGAAAGCCTACACAGATAGCCAGTTTTATAGTGTCGGTGACGAAATGGATTGGGGACGAAATGGGGCGTATCCTTGACAAGATGATCAAAGGGGCGGAGCCAAGCGGTCCGACAAATTACCCAAATGTATCCAAATGTAGCCGCAATGAAGTCAAATAATGGTCCTACATGAATAAATTGGACTGCCAACCACTTCTCGACTAGTGTTTGGTGTCACAAAGTCACAAAAAATTGGAAAACTTAATTTAAACTGAGTTAATAGATCGCGTGCTTGTACCGAGGGAGCGAGTAATTACCCAAATGAACCCAAATGTAGTCGCAATGAAGTCAAATGATGGTCCTACAAGCATAAATTGGGCTGTGCATCACTTCTCGATTATTATTTGGTGTCACAAAGTCAAAAAAAAGTGGAAAACTTAATTTAATCTGAGTTAATAGATCGCGTGCAGGTACCGAGGGAGCGAGTAATTACCCAAATGTAGCCGCAATGAAGTCAAATGATGGTCCTACATGAATAAATCGGACTGCCAATCACTTCTCGACTAGTATTTGGTGTTCTTGTTTCATATATAAAATATCTGAGGTGTAATTCAGAGTACAGTGTTGATCGCCATGCATGGTACTGTGGAAAGAGAGGGATACTGACGAGACACCACTTCCTCATTCATGTCACATCACTATCCTCTTGTATCTCTTACTTAAGGTAAGTTTCTACACACTCGGAGTTAGGTTAGGTTAGGTTAGGTTTTTTAAGGTTTTTGCAGTTTTTTTTACCTTCCATTTTTTCAATATCTCAACCTCAGCTCATTTCTGACGTCAGTGAAGATTATATTTGTATTTAACACAATTTTCAAAAGTCAATTAGGTGTTTGCAACTACAGGTACTCACCGACTTACAACGGGGTTAGGGACCGACATCCAAGTCGTAAGTCGAAATGGTCGTAAGTCGGAAATGCTTAAATAACACATAGAAAATCTAAAATTTGGGTCTCTTTTTTCTTTTCAGCACCACAAAACACTCACCTTTAAGCTTGCCAGCCATTTTAAAGTGAATTACAGATGAAAATTTTGTCTATGTACTGACTTTGGGACTCAAAAATACATAATTTGACCACATTTTGGTACGATTGAGGCGGTCGTAAGTGCGGGTGGACATAAATCGAGTCGGTCCTATGTCGGGGACTACCTGTACTAAATATATACCTCGCTCTTTTTTTCTCTGTGGTAAGTTTTCCATAGGTTGTGCTATGAATTGTTGGTCTAGTAGTGACTGGAAAGAGGAAATTCTTTGTCTTTCACGGTTCTGTGCCAGAGAATACCATATTGCCAGCGTAATATATTGAGAAGGTCGAGGAGCCGCCTCCTGCACCCAGCAGCCTCACATCATGGTCGATCTGCCGCTAAAAACTGCTGTTTAACGTTTAATGTCCTCCGGTAAGATATCAGGGAAAAGAAAAAAAACGAGAGAAGAGACAGGAAAACTTCAGATGTACAAGAACAACATCAGAAACAGATGAACAGAAACAGTGAAATGGAGAAAGACTGATGCTGCTACAGAAAGAGATATAAAGAATGCTTACTAAATTGACAGCAAGTACCCCAGTCAGGCAGGTCTCTGAGGGAGTGTGGTTGGCTTACAGGCTATTGCAAAGGCTCCTTTACAAACCATATTTGAGGTTCGAAATTTAATTACAGGTGACATGAGTCATTATGAGTAACACTGCAGCTTCTCCCTTACTGCTAATGTTCATGTTAGGCTTCGTGTGTGTTATCATTGACCTTATTTTACCTCCTTAAAGTGATTGTAAGGTGTGGAGTGTAGGAAATGGGAGAGTGGAGTTACGTACATTAGCATTTTGAATACGCCAAGTCAATGATGCTAATTGTAGCTAGCGTGAATGACAGTGGTTACATGTTAATTGTAGAATTGAACACCCTGCTCACTTTCACCATTGAGAGTTTGTGAGCCATTATTAGGTGCCCCAAGCAGCTGTTCCTTATGCCCAATTCTAGTGCATTTTTATGTGTCCCCGACCATGTATTCCCCATACCAGCGTGGTCATTGGCTAAATGAGTGTGGGCAGCAAATGGTTCTGGTTTGTCGTCTCGTAGTAAAACTTCACCATACTGACAATCATGACAAAAGGTAAATTATTTTTCGTTCTACTACCCAGTATTTCTTGTCCATGCCCAACGGTCTTGCTGATAGTGTTGATGGTGAAGGAGTGTATTGATGATGCTCGAGTTAGGAGTAATAGTGACCATAATTTAGAGCACAAAGATAGATCTCAGAAAACCTGCCACACTGAATGCCTTGCTCACATACTGTAGAAAAATGAGTACAGTATGTATTTATGTAAAAAAAATATATTACGTTTCTTCTCGAAAAATTGGATCAGAATAAACGAGGCCAAGTAAAAAAGTTGTCAACGAGGATATTTATCGAACCGTATATGACACTGCCTACTGTATCCAAGGACAAAAAACAGCTCATATCCTTGACTGTATCCTTCTATGTACAGTACTATGTCTTGACCTCCAGGCTCCACCAACCTAGCCTGGGAATTTACCCCATGTACACTGTAATTATTATTGTTACGACCCTCCTTTCTGCCACTTACCCAACTTCCACCGCTGGTTACCAGAGACCAGGGTGTATGTACAGAAGCAGTAGATATATCACAAGTGTCGTCGAATTACCACTCGCTGTCATGCCAGTCTCCGGTAATTTCCCTACAATTGGTATCAGTGTACAGACAAAACAACAGGCAGGTAGATTTCCACCAGGTCACAGAAACACTCATGTGAACTGTAGTCTTCTTTAATAATCATCAAATCTTCACAAAACTGTTCACAGGGTATGTCTTTACCACTGGACTTCTCACTTCATTTATATACAGGCAGCACACTACCAGTATACAATTCCTTAGTCTAATTTCTAGGCAGCTCGCGCTTTTTATATACATCTCATCAGACGCCTAGAGCTTTTTAATATCCAGATGCTGGAGGTCTGAATGAGACACGCCTGGAGAGTCTAGAATGATCTAGGTTTACATTATGTAAGTAAATCATAACAAAAATGAAGTAGTACATTCTAGAAAATTCTTATATAAGTACCTGTAATACCTTTATATCAATAAAAGAAAATCTCCCCAAATTTGCCAAAAATAACAGCGGCTTGTAATAGAAAATAATCAAAACACCGAGATCACAAAAATTGTAATTATAAATTATTCCTTTGCAAAACATTATGGTGAAAGTACAAATGATACCCTGTACTAAAATCATTTTTTTTACAATTCAGTAAGTTGCATGCTTTTGTTCTTAAAACTTGTAAACTGTCAACTGTGAGTGTGTTTGTATGTCTGTCTTACTACATTGATGAAAGAGTTTATGATTTAAAGGTTGATAATATTGGCAGGAGAGGAAGACTAAGAAGGGTAAATTTTTACTTGTTGCCACTAAACGAAATCGAAGTTGAAACTATGTTTTTCCCATGGTTTTTGGTTGTTATGAACGAAATTGACCTTCATTTCTGGTGCAAAACACTTAAAAAACCATCAGAAGAAGATAGTTTTGAATCTAACCTAACCAAACCTCTCTCACTTATACATAATTTGAGCCAAAAATGCCATTAACTAAAAGTGTCTTAAAATTGTAAAAATACTGATTGCAACTGTAAATTTCCCAAGATTTGTTCAGTGGCAACAAATGAAATAATACCCTAAAAAGTTGAAAAGATGAAGTGAAGGATGCACTAAAAGTGAGGTAGGTGGACATGAAGTGTGTATGCAGTATGCATGAATGAGCAGGGAACATGATGTTAAAGTATGTACCATAATTTTTGCGGGAGGGACATGCTGCTGGTGGGTCCTACTCTCTTCTGTAGATTGTTAGGGTTAAACGAGATTCAAGACCTTTTTGTGGAAAAGGAATACCGTAGGAGAATACTCCTTGTACTACGGTGTTAATAAGTGAATGCTGAATGGTATTGAATGAAGGGAAGATGCATGTGTGTGTGTGCATTTATTCTTGTTTCTGGCCACCCTTCTTTAAATAGGAAAAGGCTCAGTTGGTGTGACATACTGTATGTATATATGTACAGTAATACCCCGATTTACGCGGTCAATTGAACCCGCGAAGGCCCGCGTAAAACGGGAAACGCGTAAATGGAACAACAGAACATATGGGATTAATTGAAATAGAGACTGGGCCGACCCCCAAACTCCACTTTTTCAGACACAATACCTACGTTGTAGTAAAAATAACATCTTAATTTTATGATGGTATGCACACACAATTAATATTTAAGATAAATATCAATAATATTAGGTTTTTTAACACTTACATTAGTAGAAAAGATGGCTGGGCACACGGGGATGGGGGGTTGGTTCCGAGGCAGAGGGCAGATTATTGGCCCTCACCTGTATCACTTGTATCAATTGTATCACTATCCACCACAGAGGCTTGCAGGGCCTCTTTGTCAAACCCCTCAAAGTCCATATAAGTCCATATCCTCACTATTACTGACTTTGGCCGGCTGTGGTGGGTGGCGGGTGAAGAACTTGGTAATGTTTTGATGACTGGGTGACCTAGTGCGCACCCTGCCTGTGCCGCTTCCCGCGTATATGAGTAGATGCACCGTGTAAAGTGGGAATTCCGGTTCTGGCGGGGTACTGCGTAAATGTGGAAACGAGTAAACGGGAACCGCATAAATCGGGGTATTACTGTATACAGTAGTGCATATATATTATGTTGTACAGAGTTCACATTATAATCATATCATCTGAAAATTAACTCCAGCTTATTGTGCTTTAAGATTGACCACCCTAATATTAACCAAACCTAACGTTAGGGTATTTAATCATCAGATAAAATAAGCTAAGGGCTAAATTTGAGGTGATCCATAATTCTGTATTATCTCTTGAATTATTGTGGGATTTATTATTTGAAAATAAATTGTGTACAGTTTTACAATCATTTTACATTTCACTTTCAGTCGCAGCTTCAGCAGTACTGGCAGCAATAACCTGTCATGGCTTCAGATGCAACAGCGCAAACTTGCAGAAAGGCGAGAAGCCAAATTCCGAGCAGAAAGAGGTCCCCAGGAGGCTCGAATGCTCTCAGAACTCCGCACTCGTATGAGCCAGGTAATTAAGAACCTAGTTAATTGACAACACTTATTTTATTTTTATGTCAGTACAGTATTTTACTAGCAATCCAGATTTAAGGCTTTGTTCTCTCCAATGCTTGTTTCATTGAAACTCACTTTTGAGTGTAATAAATACTGTACAGCAGGCATGGACAGCCTTTTCTCAGTCATGGGCTGTATTACGATTTAGGTATATTTCTGTGGGTCAGCTCATCAAAATTTATATCCTACCTAACCCAAAAGTAATGTTAATATAGTATTAATAATAGTAATAATAATAATAATAGTAATAACTAGCAGTTTATTGAAAAAGTTCTGCAGCCCGAAGGCTGAAAATATACATTGGACATAAATGACTTATTACATACATTGACATTGATGGTTTAACAAAAGCCTTCATTAAAGAAAGGTAAAGGAACATACAGTGAACATACAGATTAATGTAGGTGTTGAACAGTAAACACGTAGTGTATTAACTCCCTCCCAGATTATGTTATGAGGGGCATCACGTGGTGTAGTAACTCCATAGATGGTGTTTTGAGGGGCATCACGCGGTGTACGAATTACCTCACAGATGGTGTTATGAGGGGCCTGACGTGGTGTAGTACGTAATTAGCACGGGCAAAACCAGGAATATCAATAGGGTCCTAGAAGTTGTGGGTGAGAGAACATGACGAGCACAATGAGCCCACTTGGACTTACCCAACCTTAGTTAATTCCCAAGTGACCCACTGCCACATAGCAGCTAATCCATCAAGCAAACCGCATTGAACTTGGTCCGTAAACTCACACAAGTTAAAGTGTTCATATTTTTGATTATTTGTACTTATTTTACTACAGTATTACTTTTTTGTAGTTCCTTACTATTAGGTGATGAAACAGTAATGAATTGTGTGTGAAGATTATTATTTTAATAAATATTGCTTTACTCACCATATGCTGGCTGTATCTACTTGAACCGTGGGCCACATTAAATAGAATTCCTCAATCACACCACTGACCGCACAGAGACATGGTTTGGGCCTCATGCGGCTCATGGGTCATGGGTTGCCCATGTCTGCTGTACAGTACAGTACTTGTAGTATACTGCACCTCTTTATGTTAACATCAGTGTCTCTTAGATAGCACCTGTCTATCAGTATTATTTATTAAAAAAAAGAGGTCACTACTTTGAACCAGGTTTCTCAAGAAAACAAAATTGCATATAACGTTAATTAAAGTATAAGTTCAAGATAACCTAAAATGTTGTCAGACCCTCAGTTCTTAGGCAAGGGAATACACTAAAAAGTTGACCTGATATTCACCCAAAAATCAAATGAGTGACACAATCATGGGAGGAGGGAGTTAAGGCCAACAACCATATTTTTGTGTACAGAGCTTTCTTGACTGTAAACCATTAAACAGCTAAACTAACAAAAACTTTTAATTCTCAGTGAAAAAATATCAAGTTTCAATTCTCTAAAAGTCAATAAAGAAACAAATTCACTTGAGCTACATTTTAGAGCAACATGTTATTTATGCTACATCCAGAAATAATTTTTTTTTCTGCACTGAACTTTAGTTTCATTCTCAAGAGATATACTTTACTTAAACCTTTTAAGAGAAAAAAGAGGTACATAATTTACTGCACATTTTCAAAAATGATATACAGTTGGCTCCACTCCTGACTTTACCACTTAGGGTGAAACTGATTCATCACTAGTGAGCGGGAGGGATTGGTGTCTTTTTGTGGGGTGAGACAGAGCACTAGGTGGTGAGGAGGGAAAGTGTATATCAGTTTGGAGAGTTTACAGTGTAGAATAACGCTTTGACAGTAGGGGTTTCATCAACTGTGTGTAATCGTCTAGCTCCCCGTTTCCCAACCCTGGGGTCACGACCCCAAATGGGGTCGCCAAGTGCTTTTCTTGGGGTCGCGAAGCAGTTCTGTCACTTCATGGAAAATTCCCACAGATCTGTAGGAGAAATAGGCCTATGTGGGAGGTGTTGAATGAAAGTAACCTTAACCAGTGGGGTCGCTAGAAAAAAAGGTTGGGAACCACTGGTTTTGCTCAAGCCAAGTGAAAATACTATAGTTACAATAGGATGACAGGGGGATGAATTCATGTTCTAAGTAAGGTGTTCCTTTAGCAAATGGGGCATTTATTAGCAAATGGATTGTGGATGTTTGAATCTATACGAGATGGAACTTCCCCACCTGAATAAAATCATCTGCCGGTAGCCAGAATAAACTAGATAAGAAGACGTCATACTGAAGGGATCATAATTATCAGTAAAATCAATCAGGAAGTGGGCACCACATATTTATTGAAATACAAACTTTTGGTGAAAAAAAAAATAGTTCAGTTGGCTGCTGTCCGATATAGAATCATCAAACCACATAGTTTAATTGTCCCAAACAGTTAGTTTAATTGGGTAACAAATATTGACAGTATCATTATCATTTTTATCAAATGAGCAATTTATGATGCAAAGCGATATACAGTAGCTGTTGCTTAAAGGTCGTAAAAATATAATGAAAGTTTCAATGTGTGCACGAGAGGGAACCGTCGACTCCACCTGCCCACCACCCAACTCCTACTCTGTGTTGCTGATAGTGGAATTGCTGTAGACAATTTACAGGGTAGAATAATGTTGTGTCGTCTCATTATGATGGGGCAGTTATGATGAGAATACAAGAATACAAATACAAGTGATATTCACGATATACAGTGGTCCCTCGGTTAACGAACACAATTCGTTCCAGAAGGTCGTTCGTTAACCGAATATTTCATTAACCGAAACCATTGTTTCAATGGGATTTTGGGGAATTGGTTCCAGCTCACCGAAAATTACATACAAAGTAAAAATAAATGCAGTAAAAGTACACGTACTTTGAGGTGTGTCTTTAGAAGGTTCCTGGTTGATGATGATGAGAATTAGAAGTGGGGGTGGAGGAGAAGGGAGAAGAGAAGGCAGTGGGGTGGAAGAGAAATCACCCCCATGCTTCATGCCGCCATTTCACCCATAAAATTTTAAGTTCACTTGGTGTAATTCAAGATTATTTTTTTTAAATCAACACTGCACTGCACTATATATTGTCAATATGTAAAATAAATTTCAGAATGACCAATAATTGTACTATAAAAACGTAAAAATAGTTTATGTTCAAGAGAGTCTCAAGCAAGATGCTTCTCCACTGAGCAGAGACACAAACTGACACCATTCTGGGTGAGTCAAGTGGCTGTTTGGTGCGCTAAAAACTAGTTCCCCGTACTTCAATTATGTTAAATAATTGTTAAAATGACTAAAAATTTTAATATAAGACTTGGAAAATTATTGAATAGTACAACCTTCTTGATATTTACTCAAATTGTAACGAACTTAAGCCCTAGAACCGATTACTGTATTGGCGGACTAATACTACAGCTGGTGAGCAGGCGAAAACATGGGAAAAATTCGTAAGGAATTCGTTAACCGAATTTTTTTCGTTAACCTAATTGAATATTCTTATGGAAGGTAATTCGTTAACCGAAATTTCGTTAACCGAGGCGTTCGTTAACCGAGGGATCACTGTACATACAGATAACTCACGTTTTGCGCTCATTTGATTTAAGCGTTTTTGGAATAACGCGATTGATCAATTAATACCAAAAGCTAATTTATGTGCACCTATTTTTTAAATAACACGGTCAAGACAGTTTAAATTTGCTGCGCGTATTCGCCTGGCAGTGGAGTCGCGTGTGATGCCTGGTGAAGTGTTTGTAGGTTATTACTATAAAGTTGCAGTCATATCAACATCAACAATTTTAATATTATTAATAATAATAATAATTATTATAATAATGTAATAATAAATATTATTACTGTACTACTAATGGTGAAGATAATGATGATAATGAAGGACAGGTGCTCCTCTACTTACGAACGAGTTACGTTCCTGAGGCTTGTTTGTAAGTCCAACTTTACTCTTGTAGATACCAAACATATTGTAAAATAAATAAAAGATTATGGATATTTAGTACAGCTATACCCTTTAATACAGCTTTAAAACCTGGCTCACTCTTCTCCTCTTAGGTAATTGTTGTTCTATCTGGAATTTTCTTCAAAATAATCCAGTCTCATCCACATTAAACACCTGTTTTGGCAGGTAACCTCCCTCAGTGATGATGTTTATATCTCTGAAAGTTTGTAAGTTGAATGTTCTTAAGTAGAACATAAGAACATAAGAATGGAGGAAACTGCAGCGGGCCTATTGGCCCATACTGTGCAGTCCCGTTTACACCCAACCCCTATTGCTCATATAAGCATCCAACCTATGTTTGAAGCTATTCAGCATATTCGAGTTAATGATGATATTTGGTAACTTGTTCCATTCATCCACTACTCTGTTTCCAAACCAGTGTTAACCTATTTCACGCCTAAATCTAAATTTATCTAATTTAAAACCATTGTTACGAGTTCGCTCCTGGTTGGATAGTTTGAGTACCTTTGTAATGTCCCCTTTGTTTAGCCCTGCCTTCCACTTATACACCTCTATCAGGTCGCCCCTCGCTCTACGTCTCTCGAGGGAGTGCAAATTAAGATCCTTTAGCCTGTCTCTATACTAAAGGTTCCTAATGCCTGGGATTAGTCTTGTCATTCTCCTCTGAATTCTTTCCAAGGATTCTATATCCATTCTGTAATACGGTGACCAGAACTGAACTGCGTAGTCCAGGTGTGGTCTCACAAGAGCAAGATACAGTTTTAGGATGACCTCGCTAGTCTTGTAAGTAACACTCCTTTGTATGAGCCCAAGTACTTTATTAGCCTTGTTATGAGCAAAAACACATTGTTTACTTGGTTTAAGGTTCCTACTTATCATTACTCCTAAATCTCTCTCGCAGTCGGATTTCTCTATGGCATCGTTGTTCATCTGGTATCTGGTTTCCCTGTTTACATCACCTATACTGAGTACTTTACATTTGTCGACGTTGAATTTCATCTGCCATTTTTCAGACCATTCAAAAATTTTTTTTAGATCTTCCTGTAGTTTTGCCGAGTCCTCGTCAGGTTTAATAACACGTCCTATTTTAGTGTCATCAGCAAATTTACTTATGTTGCTGTCTATGCCGATATCTATGTCGTTTATGTATATAATAAATAATAATGGTCCAAGTACTGAGCCTTGGGGAACTTCACTTGTGACGTTGCTCCAATGGGACTTAGTGCCGTTAATGCTCACTCGCTGTTTCCTGTCCTGTAACCACGCCCTAATCCATTTAAGGATGTCACCTTTGATGCCATGTGCTTCTACCTTTCTAATTAGTCTTTCGTGGGGGACTCTGTCGAAGGCTTTGCTAAAGTCGAGATATACCACATCATAATTGTGCCCCTCGTCCACTGATTCGAAAACTGATGAAAAGAATGTTAATAGATTAGTTAGGCAAGAACGTCTGCTTGTGAAACCATGCTAGAGGAGCACCTGTATTCTGTACAACAACTGTGACGACGTCCAGCAAGCTTCCCGCGTATCGCTTTCTCAGTTCACACCGTCACTACTTTTTCTCTGTGCTCTCATTTGCATTGTGTTTATCACATACCTTTTTAGTGTTAAACGCTGTTTTTCCCATTGAGCATGTGTGGAAAATGTCCCTCTGCCTCCTCTGGGGCGCCTAAAGCTAAAAGGACACGAAAAACAATCGCAATGGACGTGAAATTAAATGTGATCACCCGCCTTCAGAGAGGAGAGCGTGTGTCGGAGGTTGGCCGCGTGCTTGCTTTAAGTGAGAGAACTGTTCATACCCTGTGCGGTATATGATGGTTCCCCTAACCTGTGCCATTTACATGTATTCTCATGGGAAAATTATGTTTAATTTACGTGTTTTTTCATTAAGCAGTTGTTTACAAGAATGTAAGCCCCGCGTAAAACGAGAGTGATGGATCCACTTGAGCACAGTGGGCTGTGAAATCCCCAGCCATTGAGCGATGGCCTGGTTACTAAGGTTACAAAGCCCTCTTCGTGGAGAGTGATGGGTGGTGGAGGTCGAGAGTGACCATGTAATTTTTGGGGCCACCATATCACCTTGGGTTAGCAGTGTGATTGGCTCACACTGACGGAGTTGCCTCTTGCTCTACAGCAAACCAGATAATAGAAAATCAAACAAATATGATTTTACTTTATAAGTTCGTGACCGTTGCTTGAAATACTGGGTATCACTTATATTTGTATTCTCATCATAAATATCCCATCAAAATGAGAGGACATGACATTATTCAACTGTAAATTGTCTGTAGTGATTTGACTGTCCAAGTAGGAATTGGGTGGTGGAGGCAGGGAGGGTGCGGGACTGAGTGGGTAGTCAAGGGTTCCTCCTGCACCTTCGTCCAGGGTTGCCGTTGCGTCCAGTGCATAATATAGAACTTTATTATTTAACATCTTTAAGCAACAGCTTTGCATCACAAATTGTAGATTTTATGATAATAATAATAGTAATATTGTCATTTTTTTATTCATTGAATTTATAACTGTTTGGGACAATTAAACTATGTGGTTTGTTGAGTTTATACCGGACTGCTGCCAACTGAACTATTTTTTTTTCACATCAAGTTTGTATTACAATAAAATGTGTTGACCACTTCCTTATTGTTTTGATTGCTAATTAATCCCTTCACTACGACGTCTTCATATCTATTTTATTCTAGCTACCGCCAGATGATTTTATTCAGCTGGGGAAGTTCCATCTCGTAGTCAAGGGGTTAAACAAAGCTTCACTGCTTCTACAAGATATAGATTCAAACATATCCACAATCCATTCTCTCATAAATGTCAGCTTTTGCAAAGGAACACTTTACTTAGAACATGAATTCATCCCCCTTTCATTTTATTGTAAATTTAGTATTTTCATCTGGTTAGCGTTAGACAATTACACACACTTGAGAAAACCCCGTCGGTATTGTCAAAGTTTTGTTCTGCAACGTAATCTCTCCCAACTGATATACTGTACTGTACACTTTATGTCCTCATCCCCTGTACCCCTTCCCCACAGAAAGACACCTACCCTGACACACCCCACCCTTCTCCCTCCTGCTCACTCGCTCACTAGCGAATGCTTCGAATTCACACTTCAGAATTTAAGGATCATACCTCAGGGAGAGAGAGGATTGGCAGTGCTAAGTGGTAAACTCAGGGGTGGAGCTAAATGTACAGTACTGTACTGAACTTATGCTACATCCTTAAGAGATGCACACAAGTTACATCCTCAGAAGATGATGTACAGCACCTGAGCCTATCCACTTATAAAAAGATACTTTATACTGCACTCGGTAGATGGATTTACTGAGGGCAGTTTGCCCTCTCCTTTGATGTAGAAAAATTTTACATCAATTTTTTTTTTTTATTAAAATTTTTAAATGATACATAATTGTCATTGCCAGATACACAGACACATTAATTTAAATGAATTTAAGTATTGGTCATTTTCAGCTCAGCCTTTTCCTCCAGTCCTTGAGGCTCTAGAGCTACCCTTGGTACTTCATCTTAAAGAAAATGAACTTAATGTAAATCTTCCAAGACAAGATGAACAAAATTTGTAAACAATACTGTTCCAGAAACACCTAATACTGTACCCTGCATAGTACAGTACAGTACTTACACTATCACTCTGCAATACATTGAACGTACAGTACTAGTGATGTTATTTTATAGGAATATAACTTTGTGTACAAATATTAATTTTTTAATTGAAAAAAAGCTGACATTAACAATACTGCACCTTCTTTGCTTTCTGAATGCCATCATTTTGGCAAAAAAGTCAACATTTGGGGATTCTTCCATAGGTAGAGCAGAAGTCTGTGTACTGTATGAACCAGTAGGGATTCAAATTTTCATTGACACATGAATCACATGGAATCATTATACTGTACTGTACTGTTTAAGAAATATTTTACCAAATCGTTTAATGTATTATTTGTTGGTACTGAAGGAATTTGTTAATTTCCTGTAATTTCTCTGAAAATGTAGAAAAAATATAAGCTGATTGCTACAGTTGATTTTATGATGTCACTTATGAACAGCAACAGCGCACAACTGTCACCAGTTCCAAGGAATTTGAAGATGGCTACGTTAGTGACTCTACACTCTTGTCGGAGACATCTCGGGAATCTTCCCCAGTGAAGACATTGCCACCTTTAACGATTAATACTGGAGTTGCCCCCACCACCCCCCAGAAGCCCCCCATTGGTCACTCCACTCCAGCCAGGGGCAATTCAGCTCCTTCATCACCTATTCTGCCTAGCAGGTCAGCCTTACGGGAACGCTCTATCAGGTAAGGCTGCTGAATTATACAGTTCACTCATATAAAATCATCTCTTCTTCTGGTTTTTGTATAATTGTTATGCTTTCTCAGATTAGACTAATTTTAATACTATTAATGTCTTATAGAATAACGTATAGTCAATATTTCTCATTTTTTTTATCATTTTAACTTTTTTTTAAACTATTTTTCTTCCCCAGAAATAATCCACCTCTAAGTAACCAGCGAAGTCTTCCCAGAAAGTATTCCGACACCTCAGACAGAGAGAGACCTTTTGTAGCTGTTAAGAGAGCACATGAAAATGCTAAGCCAAGTGAATCAGTGGTATGTACCTTTTGATATGTATGAAGAACACTTGAATTGGAAAACTATGTTAAGTACAGTACAGTATATAAAATCATTGAAATAAGTACTAGTATAGTGTATAATGATAATATTTATTCGGTAAAATTATCATACAATCTTACTGTTAATCTTACTGTTGGTTTGGCATGTACAGTATATACGTAGAGTAAGCAGGTACTGCACTGTATACAGTTCAGCATGTGAATAGACAATGCAGGTTTACAGTGTACAGTCATGAACAAAAAACTGTTTAGCCCTTAGGCTTCGGGTCACATCCAGTGATGTGTGTCTGTAGAGCTTCAGGTCATGTCACATAACATTTAGATCTTTCGTGGGCCTATTTGAATAAAAAGGGCTGGGCTGACTAGATTATGTTGCTAAGTAGGTATTTATCTTTCACTCATTCACACATGAGAACCTCCCAATCTCTTGTCAGTAGCTTCTCAGCTTTTGTGATGTAAGAATCTCACTCTTGGTCTGGACTCACTTCACCATGTGTTTCTACCCCTCAACCCCCCAAGCACAAGTCTAGTATTGTGATCAATTACTGGAGCAGTAATAATGATTGTCAATAGTGTATATTGTAATAACATAGTAAAACAAGTGTCCTGTACCTCATACTGCCAACAAATTAGTGTTGTTTACCTTGTCACTACTGTGTCACATACACACGCCACTTCACGAATATTCTCGACTCTTCCTAGCCTTGATGTTGCCAACCTGTGGTAAGGACATTTATTTATTTCCTGTTTATATCATGCGTGGCTAGTTTGTAAGGCTATAATTGCTTTTAATTTATTTTTAAAATGTTCCCAAATATACCTATGGGTAGACAAACAATTTGGGGACTTACTCCAGCAGTTCGGAGTCTCAGGAGTGTAAACAAGCTATTGTTCATGGCTGTATATAGACTATGGAGGTGTACAGTTTCCAATGTACCTCAGCAGTGCAGGTATACAACAATAGTAAACAGTAAGGCAATTTGGCCAAGGATAACCGACAAAGCCATCAGATGATTATTTCCAGTAGGGTCATAGATATAAATAAGGGGATATTATATTAATGAGATATTTACTTATGGAGGAATACATTAAAAAGTCAGTCTCAAGTTGGAAGGGCTGTCATGGTAAATGAGAGGTTTTTATTTATATTACATGAGGATTGAAGAAATTTTGTGTAACTACAGTATTTGGGAACAAATTTAGAATACTGTACAGTACATTACCTGATCTTGTCCTGCAAAAGTGTGACCTTGCTGCAGTTATCCTTCAACTTGAAAGCCATACAAATATTTATGTAAATATAATTCATGATTATGGGATTAATGTTTTCTTTTATTTTTTAGGATTCCTCAGCAGCCTTCAGTCAACTCCAGACATCTCCACATGGCCACATCAACTACTCATCCTATTCATCAACATCTACTCCTGTGGATGGTCTTCTAACAACAGTTGTCTCATCAAATCAGGTTTGTATTTATTGTTGAATGATTGGCTTTAGTTTTTTTTTGCAAAAGCATGGATTGTGTGAGTATTGACTGACTTTGGGGGTGCATGAAACAAATGAAAACTGGTACAGGTACAGTAGTTGAAAAACTTTTGCATGCTGATGATGCATATTGGATGACACGAATCTAATGTTCAGCAGGAGGGTCTGTTTTTTATACACGTTATCATTGTCAATATTCAGCTTAAATACATAGCTTCTGCCGTGTGAGATTGCAGAAACTTCAAGAAAAGGAAAGATGATAATATTGTAGTCATGAAATGAATTTGAATACAGAACCCATAATGAAAACTGGATGGAATACTGCATATAGTACTGTACCAGTGGTACTGTACCAGTATAATGTTTGTGAAGATTTTACCAATCTATGTACAGGGTATTCAAGATTCTTCACAATTGGCCTCTTGCTTCAGTATTTGGCTTAGGTTAGACCTTTTTTTCATTAGATTAGTAAAACAAAATAGAATTAAGCATCCTGTTCATACACATGGGCAGAGGGCGCTCACTAATCCACACAGGCCTCTAATGACTCAATTTAGCATCAGAGCTTCAAATTTTGTCCTACAAACTCATCATGGTCATATGAAATTTAGTTCATTTGATGTTATTCTATAACTGTTAACAGTATTCATAGTCATTATTATGTTTTAGGATCCACGTTAGTTTAAATAAAGCACAAGCAGTGTTTCCAATGTGACACTTTTTAAGAATAATAATGCAATGCTTTATCAGTGGAAAATTTAGTAGAACCTGACTCTTTCATAATTGTGTCAGCTTATGTGTGGAAGAAAAAAGCCAAAGTTACTGTATTTGTTTTTAGGTCAAGCTGGAAGTTGATTGTTTCCTCTATTTGATTTATACAAACTTCTTTAATGTAAATACTGTACAGTCATGATAAGAGGCTCTTACTGATATGAAAAGTGAGTCTTCATATAATTGTGTAGGTCAGTTTAACTCTTTTAGTAATTGATATCTTTAAATGGGAAAGAAGATATACAACTTGTTTTTTTAATTGACATAAGAAACCAGTTTCATATGGACCCATTTTGTGATTCTTTTTCCCTTGAACCACCCAGTGTTTGAACTTTCTTCCAGTTATCTGACAAAATATAAATAATGTTTTTTGTATTGTTTTATGAAAATCCGTTGTTTCACACAAAGATATAATTTGGAATAATATTTCATGTCATTATTAGGTCTTTATTACTTTTGAATATAAAGTCTACAATTACAGTCAGTTTAAGATCATATATTACAAGTAGGACACTTAACATTAATAACCAAATGCAGTAGTTTTCTCTCTTTTTTCCCAATATATGATTCAGTATACTAATAAAATAAGTATATGGCAATAGTGTATGTATGTATCTCAAGAATATTGATCTGAGTTTTCTATTTTCTCCAGTTTCAACAACTCTTTAGTTGTGTACAGTGATCTATTATAAATAAGATAGTTTTATCACTAACATTGCATTAATCGGTTAGTTATCAGGGAATTCAGCAAATGAGCAATCATATTTTACATTATTCTTAGGAAAATAAAATTTCCTTTGGTTCACTTCTTGTAGAATACATTAGTTTAAAATATTAGTCATAGATTATCAGATTTTAGACTAAAAATAAGTTGCACTGCATGATGGTTTTGGATTTACCTCGAGTTCTTTGATGCTTTGCAACAACTGAGACTTGGACAAAATTGAGAATGAGCACTGAAATATTGTGAGTACTGTACAGTAATGTGATATGTGACACTTTTTATTTATTTTCCCTGATGTAGACATATTCATGTTATACTTGGCACAATTAACATGTCCTCTATCTTGTATAAGCCACATCATATACCAATGCAGTTGATGGCCTGCAGACTCTCAGTCTTTCAAGCTCATTAACACATTGATACAAGACCCTTACATGAACTTATGTCAGTTCACTTGGAAGATTTATTTATTAGTTACTGACGTAAAATACTATTGACAGCTTTCAAAACCATAGCAGGAAGGTTACTAATAATGTACTCTATACAGCACTTGTTAAACCAGCATCATCGAGTTAGTGAATTAATCAATATTCAAATTATACTTTACTGTACTTATAACTTCTGGTTTTTGAGCTTAACAAGAGACTTCTTTTGTTTCACTAATGGAAAAGTTAATTAAATATTGAATGTTGTTGGAATATTAACCTTCCTGCTAGTGCAGTAATTGCATGCTGACCTTGGAACCATGAGTTACGTGGTGTTTACAGGAGGGACTGGACTCACTAGATGCCCTGAGTGCCACCCTAGCCAGTCTGGGCTCCCCCACTCATCCCCCCACCACCTCTACTACCTCACCGCCCAACCCCATAAGCAGCACCACCACCACCATCACGACCACTGCTGTCACCACCTCTGCCGAGTCACATCCAATTCTGACGGCTCAAACATCCCAGGTTAGCTACCACTTGGTAGTTAGTCCTGTTGGTATACAAGTTAGACAAGCTGAAACTTGTTCAGATACTTCCCTCATCACAGGCATTCCACTTACTATTGTATATTTGAAGCAGATTAATGAATCAGTAAATCAGGCATGTTATAAAATATTGTACAGTAATTACATACTCCTATATTAGTCACCCAGTATTTATTTGTTGCTTACCATTAATAATATATTGCTGTGGGTAATTTTATAGAATTTTTTAGAAATTTTAATCCTTCATATCTTATACTAATAGGAAATTAAAATAGCTGTAGTATGACATGTATATACAGTACTACAGTTAGGTACAGTATTTAGACCTTTTGACATAAAAATAACAGGATAATGTACTTACACAATCATGTGACAATCTCAAGTAACTGACTTACCTCTATTTTTTTAACATTGTGGGTTTAGTTATTTAAATTAAGCATTTATGAAGCATGGGAATATTCACAACTAAATTTAGAAATTAGGAGGTGTGTATTTAGGTTGCATGGAAACTTGAGAGCATGGTACTGTACTGCATTTTTTAGTTCAGTCTAACAATCATTAAATTATTTCTTAGTACATTAGTATTTTTGTTTCAATTTATTATACAAGAAAATTACAATTGTAATCTCATCATGTAGGACTAGCTAATCTTAACCTCAGTTTAACTATAATAAAATGCACAGTAGTGTTATTAAATCATGAGAATTTTTAATTGTCACTAATTTAAGGATTTTCATGATTATACATATTTTTTTATCAGAGCCGAGAAGACAGTGCTTGGCAGAGTGATACAGAGAGCAGCTTTGGTGGGACCCGACCAATCACCCCTGGTTTCCCTCCTGCAACTCCCACAACTCCTTACCTGAACCAGGGACTTCCACCAAAGAGTCCAACCATGCAGCGGTAAGTCCGTATTCTGTTTGTTTGCATTTTCAATATCTTCACTAATTTCCCAGCCAATTGCATGATCTTGCAAGGATTTGCATTATTGTTGATAACTTGTCAGATTCTTGAATTAAAAGTATTCTTTGCTCTAAAATAGTGAACAATTTTGCTTGTTTTTAAGACCTTTTTTTGCTAGCATTTAAAACACTCACTCTGTGCCTGGACTAGCCAGTGTCTCAAATCTACAATTAAAGTGCCCAGATCTATTCTTATTTTCAAGATATTTATTATTCCCAAATAAAGAAACTTATATATTAATATAGTGGCACAATTGAATTTCTGATATGCACAATAAACTGTTAAAGGGAAGTTGATATATTGTTGCCAACAGGCTGCATGCTCAATTGTCACTTGTCTTTGTTATTAAACACAACATATTCTAGTTGTTATCTTTACTTCCCAGTTATTGTTACAGTGAGAGAAAATCCCTTAGTTTGTGTTGATTCTTATGTGTTATTAAAATGTCGATGTGAAAAGATGAAGTTTAGGACTTGTTACATTTGTTACATCAATGTGAGAAAGCACTACAAAATTTAGGTTTGACTTGGCCGAGAGCTTGTGATCTCTTCACATTGAACTATTGCACATGCATATGGTAGTTAAATACAGTAATGTAGATCGAATACAGTAGCATCGGGTTATTTCGCAACTTTTTTTTTCCTCTTTCATGGCCAGCTAAATTACAACCATTTTTCTATACTGTATATTAAAAAAAGCTTGATTCAGATTATGTTTCTTGATAATTTAAATGGTGTTTATTATCTATACTGTACTCTGTGTAGTGAATAGTGACTGTGTGGATGCCATCCTGAACACACGCACGGCCACGAGCTACAACTCAATAGTAGTTCCATTGTTTACATGTGGGATGGATTTACAGTAATATCTCTCAATAACAGAACTGTTGGTATCAATAATTTTTTTTTGTCACATAGCATATCTCCTGTTACTAGGGTTGGTTTGTACTGTATTGAAAATATAAATTTGAATAAAGTTTTAATAACATGTATATTATACCATGTCAAAAAATGAACCACAACGTTCTGGTTACCAGTAGTGTACAGTATGTTGTTTCATTTATTTCATTATCATTTTACTCTGGGTGGATCATTATTGTTTGAATGTTATTTCATAAATTACTGTTTTGAATACCCACCAGATTTTAAGATATTTAAATATACATAATTATATAGTTTATGGTGCATAAGTGCTAGCTGTGTGTTTTAATCAACATGCAGTTGGTACAGGTGCCTAGTGTAGGTACAGTACCGTACACCACAGTAATATTTCCTGTAAGTTTATTGTAGTAAAAAGCTCTTAATATATTTAAAAAATTACCATTTTCAATACAAACCCACCAGACAGTAAGGTACTGTTATGCAGTATAAATCTATAAAATATTTATCGGCTGAGATGCTCAGCTGCGCTGTCTAGCAAGCTCCAACATGCACCAACTAGGACTCCAGCTGCCAGTGTGAACTGTATTGAAAATAGTAATTTATGAAATGTATTACAGTAATATTTTTTTTTTATAAAATGTGCTTAGAGGAAATATTGTGTTTAAAAGTTTAACACTTATGGCTTTGTTCTGTAAACATTGTCAGCCACTCTAAGTCTAGCTTGGGCAAGTGAGGCAGCCAATCACAACCTCCCTTTACGTAGCTGACCAATAGGTATGGTGCATGGGTGGAACTCGTGATGAGAGGGTAAACTACCCAGATAGCATGTATACAGTAATCCCGTGTTTTTCGCGGGAATTACGTTCCTGAAACCCCCGCTAAAAGCCAAAACCGTGAATACTCTTTTAGGAATCACTGTACCTGTGGCCACCAAACAGCTCAGGTAGATCATGCACTTAACCATGCCATGCTCTCTATTCACAGCCCAGTGGTCACACTGATCACTGATGCACTGTACCGGCATTTACTAACATCATTATTTGAAACTAATCATATTGTAGTACAGGTATAATAATAGAAAAATGTAAACACAGTTATATACAAAGAATGTTTATTTACAAGTAAATAAAAAAAAAATATTTCGCTGAGGTCGGCAACACCCGCATTGCCAGCCTCTCTCTGCTGTCCCGCCATCTGCCCGCCCTCACGCAGTCACGCCAGCCAGCCAGTCCTCTTTCACCCACATTCCTCCACTTGAAGACTTGTATTCTGACAAAAGACACAAATGAATTGTCAGTCTTCAACACATCTCGAGCCATAGCTCATACCAATAAAACTGTTTTTTCCATTAAGGTCATCACTATTCTTGATCTCTTGGTCACTTAAGAGTCTTTGCTAATAATATTTGCCTTTGATGAGGCTGGCCTACGTCCCAGAGCCATGTGGAATGCACGTGGAAGGACAAACAGAAGAGGTAATCACAGTAGCGTTCACAGTACGGTAGGCACGTGTGGACTGAGGCTTCTCGGAGCAGCGGGTGTCTGAGGCGGGAAAGGGTGGCTTCTGTTTGCCGCACCTCACAGGGGAATATCGAAAATGGCGCAAAATTTAAATTTATGTTTTTAAAGGATATTTTATATATATATAATTTTTGAGTAAAACAAACGTGAATGGTCAAAACCGCAATTAAAAAAAATAAAAAAAACACGGGATTACTGTTCCTGTACAGAGTGTCCCTGACTTATGAATGCCCACCAATACAAACTGGGTTAAACTTGAAATTTACAGTATTTTATTTACCTGATGACTTAATTTTTACTTTCAGTTACTGTGTTTTGTCATTCTATTTTTTCATTTTTCTTAAATGAAGTGATTTTAGATGTATATAAGAACTTAGGCTTTGATATAGTGGGATTTTAAACATTGTCCTGTAAATATGGTATGCATGTAGCATGTGTTCTGACATGTACAAATCCGACTTAAGAACGTCCTCAGGAACAGAACCTGTTCATAACCCAGGGACCCCCTGTACTCATGTAGCAAGCCTTGTGGTGAGAGAAACAGAGTACAGTATGCATGCCCTTAAAATTTTGGGGGGTTAGGTTCTCAAAATGGCCGCGAATAGCCAAATCTGGGAAAAACATTTACTTACCAGAAGGGGTACATTTTTACTCGTGTACATTGAAATGTATATTCCATAAATATATTTGCCCTTCGGACAATTATTTATTTTACCTGTATCGTATATACAGTATGTGTGTGTGTGTGTGTAGACACAAACACAAAACACATACAAATAAATAATAATGGGAAAATCCTCTCACAAATGATCAGAAAGAAGACAACAAAATGTATTTAAAATGTTAGAGTCTACTCTCAAGTCACCTCCGTGCTTTGTTATAACTTTGATAACAAAGCACGGAGTTGACTTGAGGGAAGATTCACATTTTAATACTTTTTGGTGAGAGGATTTTTCCCATTATTATTTAATTGTATGTTTTTTGTGTGCGTGTGTGTTTACACACACACACACACACACACACACACACACACACATATATGCAATTCAAGTAAAATAATTTATTGTCTCTAGAACGTATGGATCCCTGTCCCAGCCGCAAAAATGCCAGCAATTTTAAAACTAACCTTAGACATTCTTGGGTACATCCAGGGTGTAATCCTCGAATAATCGAGGTCCGCAAATTAAAAATCTGCGAATTTTAAGGGCATTCTGTACTCTCGATTTAACGTAATCCGATATAACGAACTTGATTTAGCGGAAGGAATTTTTTCTATTATTTTTTACCTTAAACTAGGAGGTTCGGTGTTTATTTTAAAACAATTTTCTATTACAGGCTGTATTTCCAAACTTTTTTCCAATTGATAGCCGCACTCTTTTGACTTTCTCCCCAACACCACTTCTTTTCTGAGACTTCTGAGACACTTTCGGAATGTTGTCTAAGCACAGTACAGTGGTCCCTCGGTTAACGAACGCCTCGGTTAACGAAATTTCGGTTAACGAACTGCCTCCCATAAGATTCTTAAATTCGGTTAACGAACAAAAATTCAGTTAACGAATTTCTTACGAACCGACCTCAACATGTTTTCGCTTGCATTTGGCAGTCCACCAGCTGTAGTATTAGTCCACCAATACAGTAATCGGTTCTAGGGCTTAAATTCCTTACTATTTTAGTAAATATCAAGAAGTTTATACTATTCAATAATTTTAAAAGTATAATATTCAATTTTTTAGTCATTTTAACAATTATTGAACATAATTGAAGGTAAAGTGACTAGTTTAATGCGCGGCATCCAGCCTCTTAACACAGCAAACAGGCATTAGTCTCTCTCTGTTTTCACTGGAGGTAACATCTTGCTTGAGACTCTCTTCAACTAAACGCTTTTTTTCTGTGTTTCCAAGCAAATTATTGGTCAATTTGAAATTTATTTTACATATTGACAATATATAGCACAGTGCAGTGTTATTTTAAAGAAAATATTCTTTATTTACAACAAGTTTAACTTTGAAAAACACGTGTTGACATTGTTTGAATCCAGCATGGGGCCTAAGAGATCAAGAAAAGCTATTTCAATCCAAACCCAGCAGGAAATCATAAAAAAAAACATGAACAAGGCATTAAATCAAATGTGCTTAGCAAAGAATATGGCATGTCGGCATCAACTGTGTCAACAATTCTTGCACAGAAAGACAAATTTAAAGAAGTGAAAGTGAGAGACAAATCTACAAGAGTGTTTAAAAGTAGATCCCTAATCGCAGAAACTGAGAGGTTACTTATCATCTGGATTAGGGAAAAACAGAAGAAAGGCGATTCAGTTTCTACTGAATTCATTTGTGAAAGAGCCAGGGAGATTTACGAATATTTAAAGGCAGGTCAACCTGGTTCTTCAGGCACAGAATTTGAAGATTTTTGGGCCAGCAAAGGCTGGTTCGAAAAATTTAAGAAAAGAAGTGACATTTTCAGTGTTGTTAGGCATGGTGAAGCTGCTAGTGCTGATAAAGAAGGGGCAGCAAAGTTTTTAGTTGCATTTAAAAAACTGATGGATAAAGAAAATTATCTTCCACAGCAAGTGTTCAATGTGGACGAAACTGGGCTGTTCTGGAAAAAGATGCCCAAAAGAACATTCATCACCAAAGATGAAGCCTCTTTACCTGGGCATAAACCCATGAAAGACCATCTCACTCTATTGCTTGGTGCCAATGCTTCAGGGGATTTCCGACTGAAGCCTATGCTTGTCTACCACTCTGAAAACCCCAGGGTGTTCAAGCAACAGAAAGTGGTAAGAACAAAGCTTGGAGTTTATTGGAAGTCCAACCGAAAGACATGGGTGACAAGACAGCTCTTTAATGAATGGGCTGTTGATGTGTTTTGCCCTTCTGTCAAGAGCTACCTAACCACCAATAAACTCCCTTTAAAGGTTCTTCTCCTCATGGATAATGCTCCTGGTCATGACCCTGACCTTTCCAGCAATTTGGAGTATCAATTTGACTTTGTGAAAGTGTTGTTTTTGCCTCCAAACACTACATCAATCATACAGCCAATGGACCAGAATGTGATCAGCAACTTCAAGAAGTTGTACATGAAGAATATGTTTAGGAGGTGTCATCAGGCAACTTCCAATGATCCTGAACTAACACTGAAACAGTTCTGGAAGACACAATTCAACGTCCTGGAGGCTGTAAAATTGATTGTGTCATCATGGCAAGAAGTCTCCACTAGATCCCTCAATTCTTCACGGAAAGCACTGTGGCCATCAGTAGTCCATGATTTTGAGGGATTTGAGGAAGAAACAGAGTTGGACAAGGAGATTGTGTTCATTGGTCAGTCATTGGGCCTTGAAGTGGAGGAGGAGGATGTGGAAGAGCTTGTGATGTCTCATGAGGAGGAACTTACTCCTGATGACTTGAAGCAACTGGATGAGATGTTACAGGTAGAGGCTGACAGTGGTGAGGAGGAAATTGAAAGTGATGACCATATGTCAGCTAAACAGTTGAAAGATGTGATTTACTACAGGGAGAAGTTCAGGGAACTGGCTTCAAAGCACCCAGAAGTGGAAAAAACTGAACTAACTTTGTGTCATGTTGAGGACTCAGTGGTCTCCTTTAAACATAAGTTAATGGTGAGGAGGACAGATGCCCCACAGACCACAATTGACACTTTCTTCAGTAAAAGGCAGAGGGAACAAGATGCTATCCCTCAGCCTTCCACTTCAAGAAGGAGAGAGGATGTTCATGGAGAATCTGTCAGTCCAGAGGTTCCTTATATTTTCATGGAAGGTGACTCAACTTCCAAGAAGCAGTAAAATGCTTCTCCTCCACCTCCACTTCCTTCTCTTCTCCCTTCTCCTCCTCCACCTCCCACTTCAAATGCACATCATCATCATCATCCAGGAGCCTTCTACATACACACCTCAAAGTAAGTGAACTTTTCTCCCATTTTTGTTGAATTTAGGCAATTTTCGGTGAGATGGAACCAATTACCCAAAAACCCATTGAAACAATGGTTTCGGTTAACGAATTTTTCGGTTAACGAACAACCTGCTGGAACGGATTGTGTTCGTTAACCGAGGGACCACTGTAGTTAGTTGACCGAGAGGTAGCAGTGAACAACACACACTGTGGCGGCAGGACATGGAATGAGCGGATGTAAACAAACCCTACGTAACAAGTGGCGCATTTGGCGCAAAATTTAACGGAATCACACTATTAAGTGAACTAGTTCGCTAAATCGAATGAAAATAACGGAAATTCAATTTAGAGGAAATTTTGATTTAACGGAAAGGGGTGGCTCAAATTAGTCAGTTAAATCGGGAAAATACTGTACGTACTGTAGAGGAATACCCTGATTATCACAAAAGATGCATTCCTAAAAGTCATTGTGAATATCAGGGCAATTTTAGCCATAACAATTAGTGTAAATAAAGGGGATGCATTCCCAACTGGCAACCTTCACCACATTTTTTTTCTCGATATATACCGCATTGCCCTTTGGCAATCATTTCATTACACACTAGACAGGTAGACTGGAGCGGCTGAGATCCCCAACACTTTGCACTGAGTCCCGAGCACATAAGAAATGTTTATTCCCTTTGTTTTTTATCTTATCATAATCATTTCTTTTATTATTTATTTGCTCATTCTGTGTGAAAGATTGTGTGTGCATGTAATAAAGTAAAAAAAAAATGAATAAAATTATATATACAGTCTCTCCTCGACTTACAACGGGTTCCGTCCCGACGACCAGGTTGTAAGTCAAAAAGGGGAAAATGATGCATAGAAATTCTAAAATGGGTGTCTTTTTCTTCTCAGCACCACGAGAACTCTCACTTTTATGCTTGCCAGCCATTTTAAAGTGAATTACAAACGAAAATTTAAACATTACTGTACACAGCGCAATCACTAACATCAGGACTCGAAAATATGTAATGTGAAAATTTTTTTTATACGACCATGGCCATCGTATGTCCAGGTTGTTGTAAGTCGAATATGTCGTAAGTCGATGAGAGACTGTATGTACCCAAAAGGTGGAAAGCTAGGGGTATATAGCTACAGGGACAGTCCTTGGCGATATGCCAAGTCCACCCATATGTTCATTTCACACACATACATACCCATGTTCTTCATATTTCTCATTTTATAGCAATGCATTTTTTTTTATACGGGTACATAATACTATAAAAACAATACAAAAGAACACTGTGTGAGTGTGTGTATGTGTATGACATTTTTATATGAGTATATGAGGGTAAACATTTAGATTAGCATTTATTGTTGCCATACGAAGAATTCTAAAACACTAAGTGTGTCTTTTCACGACGCAGTTTGGAAGTACTGTACAGGTACAGGCATGGAGTGAGCATCTCCAGTGGGTGTATTTACTCACATGCTCCTTGTTAACGGTCCCATTGAACTTCATTTATTTCTAAACCGTACGAAAAAGACACATGCTTATGTGAAGCAGGCCTTACAGCAGAATAGGAGAGTTGCATCCAACCCTTGGGGTTTGAAATATTGCTGTAGGGTACGTTAATTTTTCTTTACGAATAAGCAGGGTATGCTTTGCAAATACCGAATAGGGTTGTTAACCCTCTCAGCCTCGCACGATGCCATAGTGGCATCAAACATAAAAGGCGAAAAAACTTACGCTCAGCCTCGAGACGCCAAAATGGCATCCAAAGGGCTTTATTTTAAAAATTCTAAAAAATTATTCAGTGAAACTGACTGAACTTTGGACGCCATTTGACAGATGTCGTTTTCTTTGTGTGAACCTATCAACTTTCCCGAGACGGTCTTGGTCACCGTGTGAGTGGCTTATGGTGTCACTCTGGCCATTAGAGTGAGAGGAGGGTGAGCTGCTCGGCCTTTAAATTATTCCATAATTTTTTGTTATATTATTTTACATTATACTGTACCACAATATTCTACATGCTTTGTTCTTTATTTTGGTATACTGTATAGTACATCTCAATGAACACCGTAATACAAATAAAATGTGAATGGAAATTGAGATGTTACTAAACATTGTCCTACTTTTTCAACTTATACTAAAAAAAAGTCGCTTAAATTTCAAGAATTTTTAATTTTTTATGGTTTCATACAATTTTTCAGATAATTTTACACCATAAAAGACCCCATTACAATTAATAAAACAATTCCAAGGCAGTAAAATGAGCCCTAAAAAATTTATTAATTTTTTCAACGATTTTTCGGCAAAAACCTCCGAGGCTGAGCGTAAATTTTCATGCACGTGTGTGTCTCAGGCTCCGAGGTTGAGAGGGTTAAACTATAAATTGCGGATAAGCGGGGTTGCAAATAGCATGGTTTTCCTGTACTGGAAAATGGAAGATATTTCCAGAAATATCGTGGAACACATTTTCAAGTCCGGTTATTTATGGGATTCAGAAATTTGTTATTAAGAAATATTACTGTACATAGTCTCATCCATGGGAAGGAATAAGTTAATATTAAGAAAAAACTTACTTCTCATTATTTGGGGCATTTCATGAGGTAAGAATGGATTTATCTTCTAAAGAAAATTTTTCTCAAGTTTCTGGTTAATGTGTATAGCCATCATCCAGTTTGACACCAGCTCAGTCAAAAGCAACATGGATGTGCTATTTTCTTCTTCTTTTTTGTGCAGTTTTTCATTTTGTACAGTTCTCTTTATTTTTTTCCATGGTGTACCAATCCACTACATTTCTTGGTTGTATCTAGTAAATAATGAAATCTTTAAAGCTTTGTCTGATGAATTCATTGGGCCTCTGGTTCCTAACTTCTTCTTTTGTATTGGATTACATGTATTTATATATTGCAAACGTGCTCGGTCCCTATCTTGCGAAATAACCTGTGGCTACTGTTGTATTTTTATTCTCTCTATATATTGCCCTAACAAAAATATCTCTAATCTTGATTATATTTTCTCCCTCTTTCTTTCACACTCCTGATTCTGCTAACCAACTTGTCGACCCCCAATTGGTGCCACTGACAATCTGTGCTGCTGCTAACAAATTGGGACTTTGCAAAATCTGCATGCTGCCTCCCCTGCAATACTACAATGATATTGCACACCTAATATGTAATATTCAAATCAATATCTTTTGACTAACCCTACACTGAAAATGTTGCCCCATGTTTATCCACTCTGACTGTGATCCATGGGTATCCTTGTGTTGATTATCTTTGTGAACAAATTTTTTAATGAAATTGTGGATGGTGACCTGAACATTCTTTGTTTGTCAATCAATGTTGGTGGTAAATGTGCATAAATGTTGACTGGATGCCAAGCAGAAGAGCTCACCTTGGCCTGTCTTCTCTCTCATCTCGACCTACCGTCAAAAAGTCTGCGTCGCTTCCCAGGTTAGCTTTCAGTACCACAGATTATATCCTCATACATTTTATCCTAAATGAAGTTCATCATTAAAAAAAAATTTTGTTAGTAGAAAGTTATATTAAACTTGAGATTAAATAGACGGTACAATGTAGTAATTTTTATTAGTTGTGATGTAATATCATCGGCTTGTATTTGAAATTATTAAATTCCAGTTGAAGTGGTTAAAATCTACTTAATGTAAATTTTATGTTAAAGATTCGGGAAAGGTCAACCACGGAACTCTATATTGATTTGCAAACTGAATAGGGAGATAGAGTAAAAAAAAAGAATACCTTACTCTATAGCATTTTTGTCGTAAACATATATTTTTCATGGTTTTATTTCTTTATTTTTTTTAGATCATATTAAGTTGGTAGGGCTTTTAAGTAGAGGGAAATTGTTGGGTAAAAACACAAAACACTGAAGAATCCAAACCTACTAAAACCTAACCTTATTATTTCAAAAAACTTAAAGAGTAATATTTGAAGATATGTGTCTGGGCTAAGGAGTCAAGTTCGGAAACTTTTCCATTGAAGAAAATTTCTTCAGTTTATCAAGAATATCCAAAAAATGGTGAAGGAAAATTTTTTTGCAAAATAAAAAAAAATCATCAAGAACCTAACCTAATATTGTAACTCTCCAATATCGGTATACATATCTAACCTAACCTTAATCAGAGAAACCAGAAGGACTGGACCTAACGTCCTATTAAGGGAGGGGGGGGAGGGGGCCAGCCCCTGGAGCCCTCTGTGTGTACTAAACCTAACCTAATCCAACAAGATAAAAGAAAAAAACATAAACAAAGGAAACAAAAGAACCAAACCTGAAAACAAAAAGTAAGAAAAACTTGAATAATTTAAATTTCTGAAAAAAGATGCTATACATGAATGTTGTATTATTTATTTATGCTCAATCTGCCTATATACAAATTAATATAGAGTTCCTTGGTTGACCATTTTTTAATTTTAACCAATTTTATTTACAATGGTTGAAACCAGCTTAATGTATTACTGGCAACAAGTTGCAGTGAATAATTACCAATTTCACCTCACTATTTCTATTCACATCCCCTAAGGTTATTAGACCTTTTCAAATGAGTGAGTATTAGTTGAGTATTAAGCAAGTACTATACAGTAGTCTGTTTGTCCAAATTTAAGTCTCAGTATGTACTGTACTCTGCACTAGGAATTTATAATGCACTATTGAAGTTATCAATTGGCACACGAGTACAGTGACATAAAATACTTGTACATTAATACAGTATCAGGAATTTGAAAATAACAAAGATTGCTATGTACTACAGTGAAACTCTTGCAAAACTGGACTGCTTTTGATTATTCATATATATATATACTGTATAGTGATACTTCAAAAAATTAAAACATTTATTGAGGCTATATGCATTATTCACATTTGTTTAAATATATACAGTTCAATATTCATTATGAAGTAGCATTGCATGAGTCTTGGATGTATTCTAATACAGCCATTAGTTGCAAAAGGCGTGTAATTTATAAGGCAAGTGGTACAGTCTTAGGTAGAACTGTACTATACTGTACAGCTAAATCAGCTGCTGTAGGAGCATCATGTACTGAAAGTTGGTCAGATTGCATCTAGAACTGCTTACTAAGCTTTTCTTTATATGCATTAGATTTTATGTTTTAACTTTACTTGAGGGTTTTGTGGCTGTTGAAGCTTTTCATGAGAAAGACTAATATATCCCATTGTTAATAGTACATATACTGTATTTGCCAACTCAAGTTATACAAACTCATACTCTTATGTATTCCTACATGGAGTGCTTTCCCATTCTTGTAGCTTTATTACTGCCACAATCCTTCTCATGTTTTACACATCTACCTGTGTTACTTGTGGTGGACCTTATATGATTCAGTGCCATCTAAATAATACAAGAAAAGAGTAACTGCTTTTAAATGTAATAAATTAGCTTGGTTATAGCATATCTTTGGCTTTTATTGAAGTACAGTACATGGCAATTACAGTTTCACCCTCTCACTGGCTGATGACACAGGTTGTGTCACTAAGCGCTCCCAGATCTCCTCCTACTGGCTCATATTGGGCACTGCCACAAACCTTCGCATCAGACAGCCAACAAATGTTCATAAAAAAATCATAGTTGTTGATCCTGTAGCCTTATTTAGCCAAAGAGTCCAAACCCAGTTTTCATCACCAGCCACCATAATTTGCAAGGTAGAGTGTCAGCTTTGCCTCACTGTCAATAATGTGAAAGGGTTAAAAGCCAATTTCAGAACTTTCAGATATTGGGTGACAACATTATTTTAAGGTGCTATTTCATTAAACTCACTCTCTTTCATTGTACTTGTGGCTAAGCTTGGTTAGTACTGTACATTAAAGGGTTATTTTCTGTGATATGCACAGATCCAGTCTCTCACAGTAAGGCCAACTAAAGTAAACCCATCTTGCCTTTGGAATTGCTTCTCTAAAAATTTTGAGGGATTCATGTAAAAGATAAAAGCTCTTTAATATTATTAAGAGTATAACTAGAAAGACGAGTTACAATACAGTATATATTACATCCCTCGTTTGATTACTGACTTTACTACTTTAGGTAAAATGGTTAGCCAGTGAAAATGCATTACAAGAATATCTCAAAGTGCACAAGGTTCTGTATTTTATCTATTCTCTTCAAGAAAAGAAGAAAATGGTAAGAAAGAATGGTTCAAGAAAGCATCAGGAAGGGGCTGAAACACAAAAGGAACACTCCATACAAATTTTATGTCCTAACTTGCTTATAAAGTGTATGCAGTAAATCCTAATCTTCAAATTGATTAAATTATGCAGTATCAATAAACTGTGCATACCATGTCAGGCAATCAGGCTCATATATAACTTACACATGGATCAGGCAACTCATATACAATCAGGGTTCCCATGGCCCTTGACTTGTGTGATTGGGAATAAATTCCTGAAATTAATAAAAGAAATTGTCAATCATTCCCGAGACAACCCAGGAAGTTTCAGTTGCTACTCCGATTGAAAGCTCAGAGACTTCACCAAACTCACTAATATACAGTTGCCCGCAAAAGGACATGCCCTCTGCAATCCACACTTGTCATCATTTACAAAACATAAAATACAATCTAGTCAGTCCCATCAATTCTTGTCATGTGAGCACACAGTTCTGACCTCCCAACTGCTCCTTTTATTTGAACAGCAAAGTTCTTCCTATGATATATTTTAGACATTTCTCATCTCTTGATTGTTTCCCATGGTGGCTTATGTGTTTGTCCCATATTATACAGGTATAATAGTTGTACTGTATATGTTGAATTGCAAGACTGTTTACATTTATTTAACAACCCATTTGGTACATGGCAAAAGGGTTGGCATTCAGGCCAGCACTAGCTGGTTTTATGCCTTAATGTCATGGCTCAGTGCTCAGCTCATTGTTTTCACCAAGTGCAGGATCAGTCTAAAGGATACCAAGAGGTTATTCCAGTTCCTTTGGAGAATGTATTCTTGAATGAAATTAAAGAAAAGTTCCATTTTAGATGTTCACACTCACTATCATTAGGGTCAACAGGTATTATTCCATTTCCACAGATTACATTGTACCCTCGTTAATTAAACCAAAAAGGGCTCTGGGTCACTCAAATCATCGAAAAATCCAAACAACCGAATTTGAATTTTGTTTACATTACTGTATTTGATAATTTCCGAATTTTTGTGTTTGATTATTTGTTCATTTTCTGTTCAGTTTTTACACCTGGCCATGCCTTGACTGCTACAAAATAACCAATTCATAATTACTATGCAAACATAATTATTTTTTAAATGTACATACAGTAATAATAAAGTAAATAATACAGTACGTATACAGTAATAAATAAATGTAACACTGCGAGGTGAATCGATGAAGCATTAGGTGAGGTGATATGACAAGGCACTTACACAACACACACATTAACAGCACTACTAAAACCATTGTCTTATGACATTTTAATTTATAATTTCTATCATAAATTTAATTGATACATGATGGCTCGATTTGGCTACTTTCATACTTAGACAACTGATCACTGAATAAAATAGGGCATATGGAGAGGCATTATACACTACTATAATATTCATTAAGTTCTGTTAAATACGCTTCAATATTATTTACTAAATGCTCAAGACAGACCCTGTGGTAAGCACCAACCCTCTTGAGCAGTGACAACAACAGTGCTTGGAGATGGTGAGTGCTGGCAACACTTTAGTGAGAGTGGGACCGATCAGCTGGTACTGCTCTGTAACAGTAGACTCAGAATATACTATGGCACAATAGCTCATCTAGGATTGAGTGAGGGATTTGGGGGGGAAATTAATTATTTTTTGATAATGTTTTAATCCAGCACCAAATGAACCTAAATTATATGGGAATTATGGGTGAAATTGCATGCAGTTATAAAGGCATCGCAGGCTTCCGAGCGAGAGGTGGGGAGTTGTTCTCGCCTCCCTTCTCCTCCACCACCAGCCACCACCTTTCCACTTGTATGCACCCAAATGTAGTTTTATACAGTATCTTAATATAATTAATTTTCTATTCCTATAATCTAGTCATCTTGATCTATTTTATAATATTTTCTTAAAATAATAATCAACTTTTCGGAACTGCTTGGTTATTTCAGATTTTTTCCAAATTCAAATTGTTTAATTAAAAAAAAACCAACTTATGAATTAGTCCAAAATACAAATTATAATGATCCGAATTAATGAGGGTACAGTGTACAGTATTTTGTTTTAGATTATTACTTGATTTTAAGGCATTTTTGAATCCCTCAGGAGACCTGACAGATAGCTATAGGCAAACTAGATTGTTCACTTTGGGCATTTAGGTTGTTTATGACCTGTGGACTGTTAACTCTAAAGTGCGGTGGTCAAGTGAATACAGTGCTCACCTCCTGTTTCGGGGTCAGTGGTTCGATTGCCGGAATGCTGGGTGCTCCCTGTTCACCCAGCTGTA